TCGCGGCAGTCTATTTGCGGTGAACTAGTGTGTCGAATGGTAAAGAGCCTGGCAGATGAGATCTCTCAGAAGAATGGAAGTAAATGATTGATGGCAGCAATTAGACTAGTGAAAAAAAGGATAAGAATATTAGCAAAAAAGTGAACGTGTTTATACTGCAACTGCAATTCATAATTATTTGTGTATGTAAGTGCGAGATCACTGGAAATTCATTATCATGTGGACGTAAAAAACGGTAGTTTAGTAGTGTAACGTTGGGATTTATAATATATATGTAGCTAGTTTTTAGTTGTAGTTCACTTATCTACTTATCTATAACGATGTATGTTCGTATTCAGACACTTGCATTTACTGTGAAAGACAGCACATTATTACTATTTTCTACTTTTACAACACTGATAAACATATTTGTTTGATGTAGAATGTTGCTACTTATTTTTAAAATGTCTATTAAGAGAGAAACTGTGTATGACAAAATCTTCTGTTATTTTTAATAACGTAAGTGCATTTTTTAGCCATGCATTTACGTATTTGTCTTTACTTTCGGGCTAAGCAAAATATTTATACGGTTAATTATCTAATTTAATATAAAGTTAGTAAAACACAAAATGTTTTAACCAAATAAATTGATGTGAAGCAACTAAACTATTGCCTATGACTTATTTATTAAAAAAAAAAAGATTGTTTCCGAAAAACTATCGATCCTATTCCCCTAGGCGATCTTAAACTTTCGAAAAGTAAAATATGGCTTCTAAAGTTTATAAAATCGTTTCTTTGAACAGTTCCCAAAAACTCGATTAAACGACGAAATTTCTATCAAGACTTCTTAGACCGGATTTCCAATACCTAGTGGGTATTCGGCATTAGCTATGTACAGTGTTGGACATATCATTTTAGACCAAATTCAAAATTATATTGTTTGTTAGTTATGTTTATTTATTAATTTCTAAGATTTTTCAATGAAATGGAGATCATTTCCTAAAATATACAATATACACCTAAGGTTACAATTTTGTAGAATACCGAAACAGATTATTTTGAGTATACCATTTAATAGCCCATTCAATTTTAGCGTCATAATGTGCAAGTTTCAAGTGACTAAAAAATTCGTTGCAAATTTGATGATTTTTTCAGCTTTCCACAAAGCTTTGAGCTTAGGGTTAGATAGTACTTGTTAGGAAATGAACCGTATTTGAATTGAAAAGTCTTATAAAGCTATAAATAAACATAGGTTGCCAACAATATCACTTTGATTATTGTTGTTGTTGTAGGCTAGTCGATCGATTGCATTTGTGTGCAAGAAAAAATACTTAGTTTTACTTAAGCTTTTAAATTAATGGAATTTTATCAATGGATGGCAACACTATTAAAAATATTTCTTTATTAAAATATTTTGA